GGACAGTTATACTACCATAGAGGACTCTGAGGAGCTGTGTTCTACAGCGGATAGAGATGTCGTCACTGTAAAGCCTCATGATAAATGTCCAAATGTACAAAGCCTGTAACAGACTCAAAGATGAAATGCAGCTTTTTCTCACAGTTTTAATGTGAAATATTGTGGTGGCTATATATTAAATAAATCATACAAAGGATGATCTTGTCTTTCTGTAACGTTTATTCACTCAGATACAGCAGTAGGAGTAAGCGGCAGCGTCCCTTTAAAGTTGTTTGAGAGTCACTCTAACACAGAATTGTTCCTTTGTTGTTCTCTCAGAAGTGATGTTGGTTTCAGAATATTTTAAATTTATAGTTTGTATGTTTACAAGGACCTTAAAGCTCACTGCATACGGAAAAGACTGATTAACAGATTAAAATGAAGATCCCTTTAATCTTTCGAAATTTGCTTTCATCATTCACTCCTTTTTTCACACAATTCTTTCGCACACATGCACACAACTTAATGCATCAGACGAGCCCCAGACTCAAGTGTCTCCTGGCTATATCTCTTTAACCTGAAGCTCTGGTGATTCTGCAGCAGTCTCTGCCTGCCCTTGCTGACACATCTGTCACAGCTCACTCTCTAAGTGGCGAGAATCAATGACCCTGAGCCCCCCTGAATGCACTTACCAGAAAGACAGAGTCTATGCCACCTGGTTCTTTGGATCACAGCTGTGAGCGATCCTCAGTCCTCAGGCGTCAGGCCCTCACATCTCTGCCCTTGTTTGACGGGGAGGTTGAGGTCAGAGTCCCTCTTTACCTACAGCCCAGAGTGTCCGAAGTCCTTGTACGGAAGCCAGTTTGTGGTGGCTGTTCTTTAAAATAAAGAGTATGATGATAAAGTATGATCGATGCTTTCTGTAAGGTTTATTCAGTCATCCATGGATAGACACGCACACTCACGGATTCACAATCACACTCACATACAGCAGGAGGTGAAGGCTCCAATGGGTGAAAAATCAAAGAGGCAGTGTCCCTTTATCCCTGTTTTTGAGACACAGTCACAAATCCCTGAGAAACACACAAACAGAGTGGGTGTGATGATGGGTCTTACGTCCTTGGATGCTCAGTGAAGTCTCAACTGTTTACTTGGATGTAGAGTGAAGTTAGAAACAGGGTTAAAGGTTTACACACATAATAAACAGGCTGTGTATAGTTTTACAATAACCAGGTCAAAGAGTAAAAGAAATATTCCATCACAATATTTTGTTAAAAACACATTTTTAATACAGTAAAACAAGCAGCAAGCTACTTTTTGATAGTAAATTTATTTAGCTGGAGTATTAGGTGTATTTATAGATAGGAAATATTACATCAATTCATGAAAATACATTTAGTTTTTAGTTACATGAGCATTTCTGTGTATTGCACTCTGTGTCTTATCTGTAATACTGAGGCACAAAACCATCCTTTTGGCAATGTGGTTGAATGTAAAACGGCAATAAACAAAACAGAACCTGAACAGTAAGACACGCGCATAATGCAGTATGAATCAATGTGGACATGGAAGCACCAATCATTATCTGATCTACAGATCAATGAGCTCATCTTTTCACTGTTTGAAAAAGCATCGTAACACCGTTGGCTTGTATTTCAGCTGAGTGCAGCACTAAAGTCATTAGTAAAATACAAAATGTGACATTTTAAAAAACGTAAAGAAACTCACGTGTTGTGCAACGATGCAGTTTCTGTCAACTAACTCATTAATTGTAGTCAATGCTCGTTACATCTGAGCCACTTTGCTGCCTGTATTTATATCGGACGATTCCCAGTGAGCACCCAACATTTTGGACCGGGAACAAGATCTGTGATGTTTCTAAGCTCACATTCACTGGAAAAAGACAAACAGATGTACCAGATTATTTGTCTCCATCTCGCAACATTGGGCCCAAATACTGCAGCGCCTCTTGTCCAGAACTACTGATGTTAAAGGATAAGGCGAGCATTATCTTACACTTATTGTCACCAAATCCCAGGAAAAGACCAAAGTTGGCAGCGAGTTAGTCCGTCTTTAAACTCCTATTGTCTGTGGCACTCAGCTCCAAGCCCATTGATTCGTACTGGAGACGTAATTCTTTCAAAGCATAATCTCAAATATACAGGTTTATTTAAAAAAAAAAAAAAAAGGGTAAAATCACATCCTAAAATGTTACTCAAACAGCAGTAAACAGTGCATTTGTTGGGGACTATTTTCAAGCTGCGGATTAATACACATTTTGTGCTGTTAATTGCTGTTTTTATTAATTGATTAATTCAACATAAACAAACTAATAACAGCAGTTTTCAAATATTAGATTTTACACTGAAATCAAAAATAGGAAACGGCCACAGACCGAATTAGATTTTGATATTTAATGTGTCCGATTCTTGTGACCAGAAAGTTCTTCTGAACGGTCACACGAATCAAGTCTTCTTCGTGTGTAGCAAGTATTTTAGGAAATTAAAAATGAGGCTCGAACTGCAAAACCGACACAAAGTAATTCAGTGACAGCTGTCAGTACGTGTAATGGTACACAGCAAAACATTAACTGTTAACATTTTCTAAAATACTAAAAAATAAAAACTGATGTTGATGTTTAAGCTCATATTTATAATTAAAGATTAATTAATTATGATTAAATATTAAAGTACAAAAAATAACTATTTTTGGGGCCGCATGTCGGATTCGAACCCTGGGCCGCTGCAGCAGCTCCTACTGAGCTAACCAGGCGCCCAAAATATATATATTTTTTTTCCATTTTCCAATTTTAGATTCTATATTGATTATAAAATAACAAATGATACACAGACTGTGTGGCTCATGGATACATCAGGCTTCAGATACACAGAGGATCCATTACATTGTTGGTTTTGGTCTTTTCGTGGGATTTAGAACAAATGAAACGCTGCCACACCGATCCTCTAACTCTGTGAAACATCCTGGTACAAGACGTGTCAGGTCACATATTAGCACGACAGCGGACGATAAAATTTGATTCTAGTGACACTTTCCTACCTCACGTGAAGGTTCCTGTGAGAAAGCGGCTCGTGCACACTCTCAGGAGAACCGTGAGAGCGTGCACGAGCCTTTCAGAAAACAGTAATCATCCCAAAATATACACCAACAGTAAACAGCTGTTGACATCCTGCAGCGCAGCGTCTGAACACAGGTTTATATCCGCAAGAGCTGCTCGGCAGCCGCCAAGTGAAAGAGGAAGTTCTCTGTCGCCGGAGGGAAATGATGCTGCTTTAAACCTTCCAATGTGATTTTAGAGTCTTCGCACTCGTCCGCCAGGGCCACCAAGTTGGCAAGGATCTCTTTAGTCTTCACAGAAATATCCTGTGAATTAACGTCAGGTTAGATTCAAGAGTGCATTTCTCACAACTGTGAGCTGAATACAGACGGGTGGGGATTCTCACCTTAATGACCTGGCTGTCCGACCTCTCGGCATCCTCCGCAGACTGCACAATGAGGTGGCCGACTTCCTTGTGTAGCTTCCCCATAGCCAGGGCCTCTGTGGTGAGACACTGAACGTGAGTCTGAGGGGAACGCTGTCCTACTTTCTCAGGAATCAGCGCACTTTTACAAACATACTCAGAGTTTAAATCTGAGCTTTGTGGGGTGGGGATAAAGAAGTAGTAGCTTAACACACACAGCTGCCCACTACATGCAACAACTGTATCAACGAGATTGCAACAACCTGAAACTTCCCTGCGATATTGCAGCAAAGTTTCAGTTGTCCAATAGAGTCTTATGTGGAAATGAGCCGACTTCTCACTTTGATTTATGAGCTCAGTAAACAGTTTCCTGGTGAGTTTATGGTCTCAGTCTCTAGTTTCAGGTCTTCTTCCATACAGCATGATGTTCATTTAGTAAATGATGGTCTCATTTAGAGTAAAACAGACCATAAAGCAGGGTATGCTTTAGGGCGGGGCTACCTTGTGATTGACAGCTCATTCTCAGTGAGTCCGTCCAGCTCAACGCACCAAACTCAGATCAAACTGTCAATCTAGGCAGTGCTGGTCAGATCTGGATCCTGAACATACTGCGTCCTCTTTGAACATACCTTTGGCACTCTGGGACACCGTGATAACGCTGTCTGGGAGGTTCACGTATACATCAAACAAGTCCGATCTGTTGCTCACTTCTGGATCCACGAAGCCTGCTATGTATCCTGCAGGGAAAACGAACATATTGGTGCATTAATAATTCATTTCTTCCATCATGAGATCACAGTGCAGATGGCGGAGGCAGCCTCACCAGGGCATTTCTTCAGATCCTCTAGCTCGGTGTCAGTCAGGTGCACATACGGGTGCAGGATGGACCAGTCTTTCCTGTGCCATGTCAGAGTGGGCAGGACTCTGAGGGGGAAACAGGTACAGAGTCACCCACAGACGACAAGATTCTCCACTACAAACACTCTGAAGTCTTAAACGCACCTTGTAAACTCCAACAACGCTTCAATCCGAGGGTGATGGACAACGATCCTCTTCTTCAGCATGAGAGCGGTATACAGGATGATGGTCTCCATACCGAACTGGGACACCACATCTGAGTTAGAGCGGCAAAAAACACGGAAGTAAACCGGATTACTTTCATCTCCGAGGGAAAAGATCGTGTTTAAAGTGAATGTTTATGAACCGCTGCTGTGTTTTAGCACTTAGATGGAAAATATCACCTTTATCTGGTGACCACAATGAGAAATGTTCATTACAATCAATTTATCAAACTTTATTTGTATAGTACCTTTCATACAGCTTAGAGCAGTTTAAATGCTTCACAGACGACAGATAATAAGACAGAATGGAATAAAAATGAAATGAGGGAGATTTTAAAATAGGACACAACGATAAAAATGACAATAAAATACAATTAAATTGATTATAAAGGTGTAACAATAGTATTAAATAAAAGCTTTGCTAAAAACTAAATTAAAAAAATAAGAAAGCAGGCGGACATAACAAATAAAATCAATACGAAGAATAAAAAATATATTATTTAGAATAAGGAAACAGCTAAAATGAACTATAATTATATTTATAAAGGAAATACGACGACATAATTGAGTTAAAAAACTGTAATTTTAAACATCTTTTCAGCAGCAAAGATTGTTTTTTAATCTTTTTATCACAGTTTCCTCCCACACTCTCCCTCAGGTTCAAAAGAGGTCGAATGACATAAACAGTCTGTTATTTATGATCAATCAGTGCATTTGACAAGTGAAAACTCAATCAATAATACTTTTACAAAAACAAAAGAACATTAATAACTAAAAGCAGGAATTATAGCCTACATAAGTGATGTGATCAGAATATTTTCACAGATTCAGACAGTAAAACTCTGATATAAATACATGTCAACTGATAATTTAACAAAAAAACTTCTCTCATTTTGATTTAGAGTCTTTTATTCTGGTGACAGCAGCAGCTTGTTATCTCTGCTATGTCATTAATTATTCATGACAATTTGGCAGACTCCAAAATACACAATATGTTCAGTGCTTCAGCTACAATATGTTCATTACTTTGTCACCAAGTCAGCTCTCCTCAGCATTTTTACCTCCAAGTCAGCATACAGACAGCTCTCATTGGAGCTCATTCACACATTTAATCTAAATATACAATTATTGAGCCAAAGAGGACACGATTCAGGACAACCGCTCTTAATTGGGGACATCTGGTCTCCCTGTTTTTATCACTGTAAACAAACAACTGCTGTCCGACACAGGACGACATTTATATGCAGAACTTCCTTGTAGGATCTGCTCATTTAAAGGTTCAAGGTTGCTTTTATTGTCTCTCAAAGGAGAAATCCGTCTTGGATTGAAAGGAACTGCTGCATGAAAACAGACACCAACCTGGAAATAACATCACTATTCACAGAAACTGTTTCTACAAAAGTGGTCAAACTACTGATTAACGTTCCTCTTACCTTTGACCGAACCGGCCAGGTACGCCTTCCGGACGTCATAGTCCTTAATTAGAAACGAGCCGTTTTCATCACTCTGGCAGATTCCTTTGGTGAGGACGGTCACATACGCCTCCATCATCTTCACCGGACTGCCGTGTTTGATGTACATCCTGGACGACGAAGACAAAAAAAAACATCCCACTTAAAATGGAGAAACTGCAACTTTTTAAAAGAAAACTGTACAAACGGCGTCACGTGAACGGCACACTGTACCTGCAGAGGATCCTACTGAGTGCAGCGTACTTCTCCGGGTTGAAGTCTTTAGCTGTAACAACTATTGAAAAATGAGTGACCTTGAAGAGAACAAACAGAAACAGAAATACAACTTCATTAAATATATATATCAGATAAAAACTCTCATTATGCCAGAGTCCAGAGTCTCCTTGTACCTTGTTCAGCGCTGTGGGCTCCTGCACCTCCACCGTGGTGATGTAGTACCAGGTACGACAGAACTGACCGAACACAAAGGTGTGGAAGTCCCGGCCGTCCTGCGTCAGACAGCACTTGCTGAGCAGGACTTTCCTCAGGTCGGAGCTCACGGAGGGATAGCACCACACCCACAGAGTGTCTCCATTCACATCTTTCTCTGGAGAGGACAAATAAAACCACAGTTCATTCCTTTACATATTAGAACAGAGGGGAAAAAATGGGTTAATTTAAAAACAATACATCCACATATCGAGTGGAGCAACTTCTTTGAACCACCGTGAGCCGCTGAGAGACTGAGACTTGGTTGTTTTGGTTTGGAGACAAACAATTAGGAGCACTATAACGAACCAGAGGAACCTCATTATCTGACTCATGAACTACTGTCAGGATGTGGTGAAACTTCCAGTAAATATGACCAAAAGTTACTTTTATCTACTGCGGAGTTTGTGAAAAATACTTAACAAGCGAGCAGAGGATGAATAATCTAATTAATTAGATAAAAGTAATGGATAAATGGTTGGAAGGTCCAGATTTGAACTATTTTTCCACGTTGCTCCACTTAAACTGTATGAAATTATCTTAACCACTATTATATGAAGGACTGCACAATAAAGTTAAAAGAAATCATCACATCACGATTATTTTTGACAGATACTGCGAGATGACTCGTGTTTTTTGCATCACAAATTTCCTTTTCACTATTAAAATCATGATGATGTGACATTTGTTGGAGTTTGTGAACCAAACAAACAAGTTTTCTTACATCTGAAGAACAAGATTTGTAAGCCAGGGCGTCTTTACTCGAACAAACAGTGTCCCAATTAGATGCACGTCTCTTCTTACCAGCCTGGTGTGGCTACAACAATGCTGACAAATAAAGGCAGGTTTCAATTAGAGGTCTGGTCTGGATTTTAAAGAAGATCTTTGGATGTATAAATAATAAACAATCCAACAGTGTTTCCCATTTTTGCTGAACAAGACTTTGATGTTAAAGGAATTAAAGGTCTCTAATTATATCCACTTTTATATGATTAATAGTTCAATAACATCCAGTTTTAAATGAATTTAAAGGAACACATTTGGAATTTATACTGATTTTATAACATTTAGATAAACGTATTGTGATAATCGTGAATATTCTCACATTGCTTTACTTCAAAAAGCTCTCCAGCTCGTCGTATATTAACTTCCTGAGCCCACATTTCACCACCAAACTCCTAATCCTGTCACCATGGCTGAAGGATCGGACGTGTGGAACGAGCATAGACTCCAAAATAAAGGACAGGGAGAGGAGGCGCCTTTCTGTGAGTCAATAAATATATTGTTTCTATATAAAATGAAAGGTATTCTCCTGATTACCGTGATAATATTGTGTATCCAATGTAGTTTGGCCACAATAATCGTCTACGTTACAGGACATGACTGCATTAATTGATATATTATTACAGTTTGGCCAAGTGCAATATGCAAATAGTAAGAGCTGTCATCATTATAATGTAGTGCTGTAGTGGTGTAGAGGTGTAGAGGTGTCCTGGTCTACAGAAACCCCCCAAAAAATCATTATTTTAATAGGTTTTAATTCAATTTGTGATTCCCACATAACAGGATGCATTCAGGGACCCGTTCATTCCTGCAGACTGCCTCACATGCAGGATCAATGAACCAATAAAGGGACATGGAGCCCCTGCTGATGGGTCACACTGGTGTCATGTGACGGTCCTGCGCGTACAGCCGCTTACACACACTGAGACAAACAAACAAACAAACAAACAAACAAACCCAGAAAAACAAAGAAAAACACGAACCGAGAAGTGACAACTCACCGATTAATCCGACGCTTAACATAAGCTGCGTTTCAGTCGCTGCCATGTTCCATACCTGGAAGAGTTCACAAGCACAAGTTAACCGGAGAGAGAGAGAGAGAGAGAGAGAGAGAGAGAGAGAGAGAGAGAGAGAGAGAGAGAGAGAGAGAGCAGCTTCCTCTGAGTGTGCACATTAACGAGGACCGTGAAGTACCCTGAGAGCTGGCTGCGAGGTCCACAACCCTGAATGCAACAGCGCTGGCGGGGTGGGGGGGGGTTTAATAAGACAGGGAATGTGGTAAAGGTTGATATTCCCTGCTGTCAACAGAGTTTTCCTCCTCTGTGCGAAATCTCTTCCTTCTTCCGGGAATGCTGCTGACAACCAATCAGAGCTGGGGGGCGATGGTGCGTTCAGGGTTACTGGAATTCTGCGATACTACGATAACGACAAACGGTGTAAATAAGATGTTGTAATATATCTAATATCTAAATACTAATTTAACTGACTTTATTGTGGTAATGTTATTTAATTTACTTTGTATATATTGTGTATATATTTTATTACTTTAAAGGTACATAGGCTCTTATTATGTTTCTATTTTAATTTTTCTTAACTTATATATATATATACATTTCTAGTCTATATATTGTAATATAAGTATTATTTCTATTCTTTAACATTGTGTGAGCACCCTGAACAACCGAAATCTGATCTGATTTCTGATTAGAAGCTTTTTTCATTGGTATGTCAAAGTATTTATGTTTTATTAAGCTGATCTTTTAATATAATAATTAATATCTACTGATGCTGATCAAGTGTGTGTGTACACACTCCATATAATACACTTTGTTGTCCTTGTTTTTAATGGTGTTATGTGTTTTAATGAAGTGTGCTTTGCTTTATGCTCAGTATTGTTGTTCCTGTCATTACACCAGCCCAGGGACTGCAGCTGAACATTATTATTATTATTATTATTATTATTATTAAGCCACACTGAGCCTTCACTAAAGTTATAATTAAGTTATAATGTCTGACAGCAGAGTGGTTCTGCTTGAAGAAAATACATCCTGCACCACAGGTTTAATTTGATGATTTTCAATTATATTTTGTATCATAAGCTACAGTCAGTGGAGTAACTGTGTCTGGAGATGTGGTTAAACTCGTAATGTATGCAACAAATATTGAAGTAAAGTGTTATAAACAGTGACACGTAAGACCGCTCTCCGGGTTAGGGTTATCATCGGGTGAGACGAAGGGAGTGTCGGGGGGTGAATTTGGTGTCACGGGGAAGGTTTTGAGAGGCGAAACTGATTTCAACCTACAACAGAACTTCAGAGTTCAGACTGACCTCCTGAAATCTGTGTTTTTAATGTCTGAGGAGTTGTTAGACTTTGTTTTGGCCACATAGTTTAAGAAGGGTTAGATTTAACGAGGGTTACCTGAACGCACCATCAGGGGAGCACATACGGGTACTTTCTCCTTTCTGAGCTGCCAGGTTTGTTAGAAACCCCCGTTTTAACCATTTAATCCATTTTATTTTAAGAATTAAGCTCTTTAGTACTTTTTAATTAACATTCTTGGTCACATGTCGGTGAATTACAGATAATATACTTGTAACTGATGAATTAATAATTGTGTAATTATAGTTTTTAATATCTGTTTTTAATTCAGTTTAGTTAAAAAGTTCAGTTTCCGTTCAGTTTGTATTCGTTTCAGTGTTTGTTTTCACACCTACTTTTAGTATTTAGTTTAGTTTTACCGAAGCTTAACGGAAGTTTGTGAGGCCTTCTTGACTTTAAGGGGCGTAAAATAGACACAGTTCGCTTATAAGACAGGATTTCATTAATTTCTGAGAATAAAACTGAATGAAATAGTTTTCTTTTTTAGTTTAGATTATTATTTAAGATATAAACGTTGAAGAACTGAACACAAGTTGTATTCACAGAGCCTTTAATCTCTGATAAACAGCCTCCTGCTGCATTAAAAAACACTAATATAACAACGGAGAGAGTAAAACATTGAATTCGTCCAAAAAGAAGAAACTTATTATGTCTGTAGGATTGTTAGAAATAAAGAATATATAATACAGATAGATAATTTTATTAAAAAAAAGGATATAAAAACAGCAGCAAAACTCATCTCTGATATAAAATTATAAATAAAATTCACACAAATCGACCATTTGACACAAACATCCTGCGGTTATTGTCTTCACTATTTCTGTTCATTGTACAGTTTATAGACTATTATAATCTGAACTCTTAATATATGAAAATATATCACTTAATGAGGGTTTGTCAGTTTACTCGACGGTAGAAAAGGTTGGAAATCACTGATTTATATACAAATAAAACACCAAATATAAAAACAAGCATAATAAACAAAATAAAACACATTAAAAACCCACATTCGTAAACATTAACCTTTAATATTTTAACTCTTAAATAGAGTTTAACCTCCCTGTTACAGCTGCTGCTGCTGCTGCTGCTGCGGTGGGGGGGACGCTGTGATGGGGGGGACGCTGCGATAGGGGGATGATGGTGGGGGGACGCTGCGATGGGGGGACGCTGTGATGGGGGGGATGCTGTGATGGGGGGACGCTGTGATGGGGGGGATGCTGTGATGGGGGGGACGCTGTGATAGGGGGACGCTGCGATGGGGGGACGCTGTGATGGGGGGGATGATGGTAGGGGGACGCTGCGATAGGGGGACGCTGTGATGGGGGGGGATGATGGTGGGGGGGACGCTGCGATAGGGGGACGCTGTGATGGGGGGATGATGGTGGGGGGACGCTGTGATGGGGGGGATGATGGTGGGGGGGACGCTGCGATGGGGGGACGCTGTGATGGGGGGGATGCTGTGATGGGGGGACGCTGCGATAGGGGGACGCTGCGATGGGGGGACGCTGTGATAGGGGGACGCTGTGATGGGGGGATGATGGTGGGGGGGACGCTGTGATAGGGGGACGCTGCGATAGGGGGGACGCTGTGATGGGGGGGACGCTGTGATAGGGGGGACGCTGTGATAGGGGGACGCTGTGATGGGGGGGACGCTGTGATAGGGGGACGCTGTGATAGGGGGATGGCTGCGTCACGCACCTGGCAACCCTACGTAGGCCGCTCACGAGGCTCTTCCTTTCTCTGCCAGCACCGTTGCAGCGGGTGAGTGCGTGGCGTTGCGTGGTGTGGATGGACCGGTGAAAAACGACCAAAACCCACTCGAGTCAGTCAGTTTGAGTTTCACTGAAGCTCCAACATGCCGGCGTATTTCCAACGGCCCGAGAATGCCCTGAAGAGAGCCAACGGTGAGTACCAACGGCCCGGCGCCATGTTTAACGGCTGTCAGCTAAAGTCAGTTAGCATCAGTTAGCATCAGTTAGCATCGGGCCGCTTTGTCACTACAGTCAATGCGCTAGCCCGAGCTAGCTAATGCTAGCAGGAATGGCGGGGCGCTTTCTCTTAACGGCTATTATTATTTTTTGTTTTTTTAAATGGTTCTCATCATTGTGTGAAACCGTTAACACAACCGTTAACACAACCGTTAGTGACCGTTAGTGACCGTTAGTGACAGTCCTCGTCCGCGGCTGTCACGTTGATGCTGAGCGTGCAGCGTTGAGTCAGGGGCCTAACGGGTGGCAGCCCGGTTTAACGCCGGCTAATCGCGGTGTTTTAACGCGTTAAAGGGGGTTTAATGCGGTGTGTTCAAGGTTTGTGGTGGATGTATTTGGTTCCCGTCGATGTGGGATTGAGCTCACGTTAGTCCAGAGCTGCACAATGAATCCCAATATCCAAATCCCAAGAGCTGTAATGTAGATAAAAGGTAAAATGTGTCTTATAATAAAGTACTGTAGTGCTTAGAAACCCCCAATAAATGTCACATCAACTCAAGTTAACTCATCTTTTTTTTAAAGTGAAAATTAAAGATAATTCCCACAAATCGTGACTCACATCGTAACTCGTCAATATGTCCTAACATCAGTCTGTTTCTGTGCTTTCCTACAGAGTTCCTCGAGGTTGGCAAGAAGCAGCCAGCCTTGGATGTTTTGTACGATGTCATCAAGAGCAAAAAACATCGAACATGGCAGAAGATCCACGAGCCGATCATGCTCAAGTACCTGGAGCTCTGCGTGGACCTGCGCAAGAGCCACCTGGCCAAGGAGGGTCTCTACCAGTACAAGAACATCTGCCAGCAGGTGTGTGGGGGAGAAACCTGCTGAGATGTTTGCACAGAGCAGGTTAGCCGTCGAGTGTTTGTGGAGTCTTAATTGTAATGTTCTGTCTTTTGCTTTCAGGTGAACATCAAATCTCTGGAGGATGTGGTGAGGGCTTACCTGAAGCTGGCGGAGGAGAAGACCGAGACCGCCAAGGAGGAGTCCCAGCAGATGGTCCTGGACATCGAGGATCTGGACAACATCCAGACTCCTGAAAGGTGAGGACGCTCGAATGTTGGATGCATTTTTTGAATACCTAAAAAGTGACTCCCAACATGTTGTTGGATTGTCAGATGATATCTTATACTGCTGTAACAGCTGAGGACTTAATATACATAATTAACATGTTCTTGATGCTCTAAAGGTGGACTGACATTGAGTTTATTGGGATTATTTATTTTTTTTTTAGTGTGCTCCTGAGCGCTGTGAGTGGAGAGGACACTCAGGATCGTACCGACCGCCTGCTGCTCACTCCCTGGGTGAAGTTCCTGTGGGAGTCTTACCGCCAGTGCCTGGACCTCCTGCGAAACAACTCCAAGGTGGAGCGCCTGTACCATGACATCGCCCAGCAAGGTAGTGACACTCACACACACACACACACTGAAAAACACCTCATTTAGTTCATTTTGTATTTAAGAGAAAAACCGAAAATAATGTTGTATACTAATTCCTATAATTTGATGTCTGGTCGTCTTTTCTGCAGCGTTCAAGTTCTGCCTTCAGTACACCCGTAAGGCAGAATTTCGCAAGCTGTGCGACAACCTGCGTATGCATCTGGGTCAGATCCAGCGCCACCACAACCAGAGCACTGCCATCAACCTGAACAACCCGGAGAGCCAGTCCATGCACCTGGAGACGCGTCTGGTGCAGCTGGACAGTGCCATAAGCATGGAGCTCTGGCAGGTCTGTCAACAACAAATCTCTCAAAGGATCGTATCAGTGTGCATGTTTTAGTCAACTTAGTGAACATTTTAATGCATAAAACATGTTTAAAGAGTGTGTAGTCCCTTTTAAAATGCTATTATTCCTGATGTATGTATTGTTTCTGTTTATTCCAGGAAGCATTCAAGGCTGTTGAGGACATCCATGGCCTGTTTGCTCTTTCCAAGAAGCCCCCCAAACCCCAGCTGATGGCCAACTACTACAACAAGGTGTCAACTGTGTTCTGGAAATCTGGAAATGCCCTCTTCCACGCCTGCACCCTCCACCGGCTCTATCACCTCTCGAGGGAGATGCGTAAGAATCTGACCCAAGATGAGATGCAGAGGTAGAGATTTTATTCATTATCTGTTGAGAGCTGCACACATTTTACTGTAGTACTGATTAAATGATTAATAACGTTTACTTGTGATCTTCAGGATGTCCACCAGAGTCCTCCTGGCCACGCTGTCTATTCCCATCACCCCCGAGCGCACTGACATCGCTCGGCTGCTGGACATGGATGGCATTATCGTGGAAAAGCACCGCAGGTTGGCCACGCTCCTCGGCCTGCAGTCCCCACCAACCCGGCAGAGTCTCATCAATGATATGGTACATAATGGGCAAGAGAAAGTGATTTCAGCAGTGTAATAATTAATGAAGTCCAAGAAAGAAGGAAAGTGCTTGTTATAACTTTGGCTTTAAATATTTTCTTAAAGGTGTTTTAACATATTAATATTTTTGTTTGCACTCAAGGTGAGATATAACTTGCTGCAGTATGTTGTACCCGAAATAAAAGAGGTTTACAACTGGCTTGAGGTCGACTTTCATCCCCTGAAGCTGAGCGGAAGAGTGACCAAGGTAAACAATCTGACTGCAGTCAGCTCGATAATAAGGAAAATATACCATCCATCTTTGTAGTTATATTATATTCATTTAATTAGTATAGTAACAGACTTGCTCTTCTACTAGGTGTTGAACTGGGTGAGAGATCAGGCTGAGAAGGAGGCTGATCTGCAGCAGTATGTCCCTCACCTGCAGAGTAACACCATCCTGAGGCTCCTGCAACAGGTAATTCTCTTCAGTCTGTTCCATTCCCCTGAAATACTCTCCTAAATCACATCTACACTGTAATGGAAGAAATGTCTCATTATTCTGTGTTCATTATACTAGGTTGCACAGATCTACCAAAGCATCGAGTTCACCCGTCTGGCCTCCCTGGTTCCATTCGTGGACGCCTTCCAGCTGGAGCGCTCCATTGTGGACGCTGCGCGGCACTGTGATCTGCAGGTACGGTCCAACCCAGGAGAGATTATTCACCAGCAAAAGTGTACAGCCATGGGGATGTTAGGACTTAATAGTGGTAATCATCCTGTTTTACTTTATCTAACGTTTCCTTTTCCCCCTCATAGGTCCGTATAGACCACACCTCTCGAACTCTAAGCTTTGGCTCTGACCTGAACTATTCGACCAAAGAGGACGCCCCTGTTGGTCCTTTCCTACAGAACATGCCCTCAGAGCAGATAAGGAATCAGCTGACTGCCATGTCTGCTTCTTTGGCAAAGGCCATCCAGGTCATCAAGCCTGCCTCCATCCTGGTGAGTTCACCCTCTAACAAGCTCTCGTATATAGACACACAGAGACCAGAGCACATAATACAGACATAAGCAGACATACATTATGGAACAATAATGCTGTATTCCTCAACTCTAAACTACATTTTGATGTTCTTGTCCCTTCTCAGCAAGAGCGTGATGAACAGAGCCAGCTGGCCATTGCTGCCTATCTCAAAAATGCCCGCAAAGATCACCAGCGCATCCTGGCTCGTAGACAGACCATTGAGGAGCGTAAGGAGCGCCTGGAGAGCCTGAATATTCAGCGTGAGAAGGAGGAGCTGGAGCAGCGGGAAGCTGAGATGCAGAAGGTTCGCAAGGCTGAGGAGGAGCGTCTGCGCCAGGAGGCCAAAGAGAGGGAGAAGGAGCGCATCATGCAGGAGCATGAGCAGATCAAGAAGAAGACAGTCCGTGAACGGCTGGAGCAGATCAAGAAGACTGAACTTGGAGCCAAGGCCTTCAAGGATATTGATATTGAGGTAAAATGATTCATTAGGTGGAATTTCATATTACAGAAATAAGACATTGTCATATAAGTTCAAAGTGAGACTAACAAATCTGTTTGTTTGTTTTTTACAGGATCTTGAGGAGCTGGATCCCGACTTCATTATGGCCAAACAGGTGGAGCAGCTGGAGAAGGAGAAGAAGGAACTTCAGGAGCGTCTGAAGAACCAAGAGAAGAAGGTAACTGAGCATCAATCAGTGATAACATTGTCCACCTCGAGGTGAATTGGACACTAATTTTCCTTTCTCTCCAGATTGACTACTTTGAGAGGGCAAAACGCCTCGAAGAGATTCCTCTTATCAAGAAGGCTTATGAGGAACAACGTATCAAGGACATGGAACTATGGGAGCTCCAGGAGGAGGACAGGGTATGTAAAGAACAAAGAAAACACTAGAAAATGACAAACAGGGTTAAAGAAGAAGAAGAAGTATCAAGAATGTAAGAATTTTCTCTTTTCCTTTTTGTAGATCAGTAACATGAAAGTGGAGCGGGAGAAGGCTCTGGAGCACAAGAAGCGCATGTCCAGGATGATGGAGGACAAAGAAAACTTCTTGGCCAAAATAACTGATGCCCGTAGCTTCGTTTATGAGGTAAGAACATGAGAACTAGAGGGCAGTTTTGCTCTGCCTCCTCTTTTCACTTAAACTCTGCAGTAAAATGCTTTGTACTGTACAATTACGACCACCATGTACTCGCTCACAGATCCTACCTGGTGGTTTGCCATTACTAAATAACAACTAGGGGTGTTCTGGTGAGTTAAAACATTGTCTGAATCAGTGGTTTTAAATTCACTATTCTATCTTTGAAGGAAAAACTGAAGGCTTTCGAGGAGCGCTTGGTGGAGGAGAGGAAGAAGCGTCTGGAAGAAAGGAAGAAGCAGCGCAAAGAGGACAGGCGTAACAATTTCTACCGCCAGAAAGAGGAAGAGGCACAGCGTATCCACGAGGAGCAGCTCAAGAAAGGTAATTCATTTCTGTTCGCACTGTGAGCCAACCAGTCATGATGAAGGAGGGACAGGATTTCACTGACAGTTACCACCAGGAAGAAAATGGAGGAAATGGTTGTAGAAATGTTGGCAGTAGTGGTTTAAGTGGTTCCTTTGTGGGACATTAGTACTACATGGGAGTTGAAATAAATTTTCATTTGGCTGGGCGACTTTTGATGGTAACAAAGTTTCAGTCAGAAAATGTTTTCCACTTAAATCTTTGGTGCTTTTCTGATTGTGGCAGCCACTCCAAGTACAACACTCCCTGCTTTTTGCTCTTATTACTTCTTTCTGAGTTAACGTAGTTTGAACACGCCTCATTCCTGCTTTTATTTTTTTGTTGTTACAGAGCGCGAGGAGCGTGAACGCCTGGAACAAGAGCAGCGAGAGGAGGAGGAGAGGGAGTACCAGGAGCGTCTGCGTAAGCTTGAGGAGCAGGAAAGGAAGCAGCGTGCTCGTCAGCAGGAGATCGAGGAGCGAGAACGCCGTCGCGAGGAGGAGAGAAGGGTCCCTCCAGAGGAGAAAGCCAAGGTACAAATTTGTTTAAAAAAAAAAAAAAAGTCTACGGTTATTGAGTCTCATAGTCAAAGGTTTGAATCGCAGGTAATTCATACAGACTTTATCGTATAGAACTCACAATAATTATGATACTATGGTCCCTAGAATAAAAACTGTAACTGTACTGTAGATTAGCAGGTTAACATTTATTCTTATACATTTATTTTGTATACGTCTAACTTCTAGTCAATTGAATAATAAGGTAAATTAAAATATAACAATTTCTTGTCCTGAGACTCCAGGTTGGAAACCACTTAAGTGAAGGACACCCCTGTGTATAAATATTACACGTTAATAGTGACCATCTATCAGTAACATAATGCAAAACAGTTAATCACATTAGTAGTTAGTTCAGTAGTTCAATGTCCGGCTCTCCATAATATCAATTTAAGCTCCTTTGACATACAATCAAAATAAAAACACACTTCTGTTTTTAAAACATCTGTTTTGCTTGTACAGGACTGGGGTGAGAAGGAGGAGAAGAAGGAGGAGGGAGGGTGGAGGAGGCGCACAGATGCGGTTGAAACACCATCAGAGTGGCGTCGTCCCGCGGCTGTGCCTGAGAGGTAAGTGTTGATAGCTTAACTTTTTTATTGTTGACCCCAGTAAACCATATGGGGCTAGTCTAACAATACCAGTTCTCCTCCCTCTAGGGACTGGAGAAAGGAGGACCGTGAAGAGGACAAAGAGGAGAGAGAGGCGCCCTTCAGGCGGGGAGATGGTCCCCGCAGGGGCGCAGATGATCGAGGACCCCGTCGGGGCTTTGATGATGACCGAGCCCCACGTCGTGGCGCCGAAGAAGACCGTCCTCTGCGCAGAGGCCTGGACGATGACCGTGGTCCACGTAGAGGCTTTGATGACGACCGCGGCCCAAGGAGGGGTGGAGACGAAGATCGCGCCCCGAGACGTGGCTTTGATGATGACCGTGCTCCCAGGCGTGGCTTTGACGATGACAGAGCTCCCCGTAGAGGCCTGGAGGACCTGAGGGCTCCCAGGCGTGGGGCTGATGATGACTGGGGAAGAAGAGGAGGAGATGATGACAGAGGTGGAAGGAGAGGCATGGATGACGGGCCACGTCGCGGTGGTGATGACCTCAAACCCTGGAAGCCGCTGGTCAGAGCTGGTAAGCCTGTAGCTGCCAATGAGTGATGATGTCTTATAATGTACCTGATCGATGGTTCATTCAACAGTCGCTCAGCAGCTGATGAGTTACGGTTCAGTTGCAGGTGGTTGGCGTGAGCGGGAGAAGGCCCGAGAGGAGAGCTGGGGTCCTCCTCGCGGTGAAGCCAGTGAAGAAAGAGATGAAGGTGAAGGTGAAGAAGAGGAAAATCCCAGAGACCGTCGCCCACCAAGGTGCCAAGAGTGTCCATCTATTTATTTATTTATTTTTGTAATAAATACAATTGATCGTTACCTTTTCACTGAGTTGTTTTCTAATCTGTGTCATTATGTTCACAGAGAGGAAAACACCTGGAGGAGAGGAGGCACAGAGGAGGCAAGCGCCTGGAGAGACTCTCGCAAAGACGACGCCGACCGTGACGAGCGCCGTGGTGAAGAGCGCCGCGTTGAACGCCGTGTTGAAGGCCGCGGTGAAGAGCGCCGCGGTGAACGTGAAGTCAGAGCCCCACCCAGAGACACTGACGAAGGTAAGCAGAGGGGAGAATTATGCTGCGTTCACATGGAAAAGCATTAGGAAACCATTAAATATGCAGATACGTCGTAGGATGCATCGGATGCGTTTTCCCTTCAACATGTGACATAATTAAGCATTCACTCAGATCAGTGACCATGTGATGAAAACATTGCAGCAGTCACACGTTCAAACTGTGTCCATTAGCCTCAAAGGCTCCAAATAGAAAGAAAATCTCTTCTAAGTAGGTGTGAACTTTATTTTGCACTCTGGTCCAACTAAATAATTGGGTACTCTACATGGAGGTGTTGTATTCAGCCAGCAGAGGTCGCTGTTTACCTGAGAAATCACTGCTACAGCAGTCTTTTAAAAGACACCCAACAAATCAAATATATAACCTCAACTACAGTTACACTTGTAAAAATCAACACTTACTTACTAATGTGCGTCTTTGTTTCCCTCAGGAGGTTCTTGGCGTCGTGGTGGCGACGAAAAGAGGGAGGAGCGGCCCAGAGAGAGGGAGCGTGAGGTTGATGGGGATAAGAGTTGGCGCAGTGACAAAGATAACCCTCGTCGCACCAAGAACGAGACAGATGATGATGGCTGGACCACCGTCCGCCGCTGAGCAACAATCTCTGCATCTAATTGGCCCGGTTAATTGGTTTTGAACAAAAAAAAAAATACTACATAACATTCAGTATCCCATCAGCCAGTTAACCACAGTGGTGAATGAATGGTTACAAGCTCCTGATACTCATGTGCATTGTTCCTTTGAATGAAATATTTGTAGACTGTAGTTTTTTTTTCTTGGGATTTATTTTCCGTTTATCTTAATAATTTTGATTTTCAGCCGTTTTCTGAACCAGAAGCTATGAACTTGTGTGCACTTAGGCTTCACGCAAAAAACCATCAGCGTAAACATGACTGCCCCCAGTGGTTAGGAGTGTCACTACCTTACATGATGAAGTGAAACTGACTCAAGTGAAAACACGTGTACCTGCTCCGACTGTCAATGCAAACTCAGTGTATCACCAACTGCCTCTTTTTAAATGATTAACCTCTGTGTAGATGTTATATTACGACACCAATCCTCAACTCTTGTAATGGCAAAGACTAGCAATTTGTCATCTGCTTCAGTGATCTCTGCTACTCATCTAACCTTTCAGATGCTTCTTAACCTGGTCAAGATCTAGTGGAATTTACATTTTGATGTGCATGCATAGAGTATTAAATTGGTCCTGCTTGATAATCCGGTATGTGGTTCTATCTTGCTGCAGTCCAAGGTATCAAAACCAGGTTGCATGTGTACAGATAAAGCCTTTATTAATAAAAAATAAAGATGTTTGCTCACCACCTAATTGTTGCTTTTGTCTCGAATGTCTCAAAAGAAATTATATTTCACCATGAAAGACATTTTTTTATGCCTTACGCACAAAAGGAAAGACTCCTTCCTGATGTGGAGGTAATCTACCCCCTCTTTGAAATACTGTTTCAGCCGACCTGACATATATATATATATATAGAGAGAGAGAGAGGTACAATGCAGCGCTGCATCATCAGTGTCTGATTTATTAAGAAAACCACAAATAGTTTAAAATGTTTATAATCCATTTTATTCATGGAAAGCCATTTTTATTTAGTCATTTACAAACACAAAGAGCTTTATAGTTGTATTGAACTGTCTTTAAACGTGCAAACAATGATTCACTTAAGAGGACTGCAGCTGACACTTAATGACTTAACAAATGCATTAAAAATAGGAATACTGAATATAAAATGTGGTTTTATTGAACTTTAATGTTATACTGAACATATAGTAGAATTATTTTAGGAATTCTGCACGATTGATATAAATATATCAGAACCAAAAAAACATGCAGTCATTTCTTTGTTTTTAAGATCTCTACAGGTAATTTGACTTAAGCTGATTTTGTTAGTCCACGTTATTATATTTGAACCCTTTCTGACAAACTAATGTGGAAATATAACTTTACTGTTACCTGTATTGTTACCTGTGCACACTGAAGAACAAACTGAGTTCTAGTACCAGCTCTAACTGTCCTAACTCCAACAGAGTGCAACACCAGAGAGAAGTCTTCATGTTTACAGTGCACTTGCTGGATCTCTGCTCTCAAGGGACCACCACCACCACCACCACCATGGCACCAGTTCACCACACCACCACCACCACCACCATGGCACCAGCTCACCACACTACCACCGTGTGACCACTAGAGGTCGGTAAAGCACCGTGGAGAGGAGCGACACGCTTCACTGTGTGAGAGCAAGGCGGAGGTGTGTTGGTTGACTCGGTGTGTAACTCAGGACATATAAGCATGCAGGCAGCGGTCAGTGTGCAGCCACTTAACAAACCAGCAACGTGCTGTTAGAGCTGCTAACAAAACCTCAACCACGCTGAACTTTTCCTTAAAAAATGCTGCTTGTTAGAAATGGCTGAATTAGGCCCGATTTATAGCCACTATAATAATACTACTAGTAATAATAATAATAATAATAATAATAATAATAATAATGTGTCTCATTGTTCAGACACAGGCTGATATTAATTTGGTAATATTACAAAATAAAATTAAAGCGACTTAAAATAAAACATCCCACTCAGCGATTCTCCACAGTGCTGATGATAATAACAATGTAATCTGGATTCAGACATATTGTTTAAGATGTAAAATCCAGCGGATTGTGTTTCTGTACAGCTGCTGCTGCTCTGACAGCTCAGAGAGCTCATTTTATTCTGCACTTTGTATTTTATTCCACAGACCTTTAACCTACCCGCACAAATAAAAGCCTTCAACTTCTCCTCAAACCTCGCATCGACAATGTATCCTAGCGACGATTATAATAATAATAATAATAATAATAATAATAATAATAATAATAATGACACACTTAAATAAATATTCATCTCTATGTGTTTCCTTAACAGCCAATTTCCATTTTCTAACATCTGAAGTCATAATATTAAAATTAAACCTCAAACAATTTGCACACTAACAAAAAAAAATAAAAAAATAATAGGAATAAAAATGTATTAAAATAATGTTAAAACAGCATCCAGCGTCCTTCAGGTTCAGGGCTCATTTCTAACAGACTCACGAGTGTAACTCCGCGTGCTATTAGTGTGTATGGTGTCTTTATGGAGGCCCTCGGTGCGCGCGGCCGTGGCTGCAGCATTGTGCCGCTGCTCCCAGTCACTGATCCACACACGGAGGGTGACAGCCCGCAGTCACAGGTAGCAAACACCTGAGCTCACACCGACACACAGGACTCATCAGAGGGGGGCTCTTATTGAATCTTAAACACTCTCGTCAGTCTTGGGAAGCTTGTTTGTGTCTCCGGTGTCTCCCAGACATCCAATCCAGCAGAAATTATGAGTGTCTTCAATTTGAAACTTATCCTAATAGAATCTGAGCCAAAACTCTAAAACGAGCAGAGACGAAACAAGAGTAAATTCTCTACATAAATCCAACCAGAAAAAAAAAAAAAAAAGAAATCAGGAACAGAATTGAGAAATAAATTAAGGCCGACTGACCAATTAACATGCTGCTAAATATTATCCGCTCGCATGGCAACGAAAATACACTTTAATGGAGCTGATTCTGATGTTTGCGCAACGTTGTTGTGCATAATTAAAAATATAATTTGCTAGAACTAACACACACACACACACACACACACACCTAAAAATAAAATCAGTTTGAACCTGTCAGAGGCCATAAATGCAAATAAGCAGACTACCTTGAGCTTTTTTCTCTACTGGTCCAGATGAGTGTGTTAAATGTCCTGGAGATATGTGCGCGCGTGTGTGTGTGTGTGTGTGTGTGTGTGTGTGCGCGCGCGTGCGAGGGGGGCTCCTCTCTGGACGAATCCGTTCCGTGTTGCGCGTTCGAGTCCGCCTCTCCGCGCCCCTGCTTCCCATTGACGCACTTTTTAAGCGTCTTCCCCCTTCTCCACCTTAAGGCGAGCAGCAGCGGCAGCGACCAATCACCATGCCATTACAGCCTTCAGAGGAAGCTGTTTATGGGACTGCAGCGCTAATTAGGCTCATGAACTAACAAATCTGCCTGCACGAACACGGCGAGGAAAACGATCACATCCATGGATTAGTCTGGGAGTAGCCGAGGCACTTTTTATTTTGGCTTTCTCGACACCGCCGCCGTTTCAACAACTTGTTTTACTGAGGCAGAAACTTTCCCCCTTTCTTGGGTGTGGAGTATTTTTTAAGCGAGAGCGCCTTCGACAACTTTAAACTTAAACTGGGGAATCTGGACTATCAGACCATGTTTCAACCTACACCCAAGAGGTGTTTTACTATAGAGTCTTTAGTGGCGAAGGATAATCCTGTACCGGCGTCCCGCTCCGAGGAGCCCATCAGGCCAGCGGCTCTCAGCTATGCAAACTCCGGCCAGATGAACCCCTTCCTCAACGGCTTTCACTCCGGCGGCAGGGGCGTTTACTCTAACCCGGACTTGGTGTTTGCCGAGGCGGTCTCTCATCAGCAAAACTCCGGCGTCCCGGTGCATTCGGTGGCCCCGCCGCACGCTCTGGCGGCTCACCCGCTTTCATCCTCACACAGTCCGCACCCTCTTTTTGCCAGCCAGCAAAGGGACCCATCAACTTTCTACCCCTGGTTATTACACAGATATAGGTACTTGGGTCACAGATTTCAAGGTAAGTTATCAAAGTGCTTCGTTTGGCTCACTTTTACGCACGAAACGCGCCGAGCGGCTGGAGAGTGGTTTAGTGAATGTGTGTCTCTCCATCAGCTTCAGGGAGCAGGATGTAGACGGAATTAAAGAATCTGTGAGGCTGCAGCAGAGCAGATAAAAAGCCTATCATCTCCGATTGTCAGGCCAAAACAGACACTTATTTAAAGGATTATTTCGCTCAAAAAATAGCCGCTGTAATGAATTTCTTTATATTAAATAAAAATCCTTGAGTAAAGAAATGAATTGTTGTTTTGGTTTCTACAGCTCGCTGCTGTTTGGAGAATCTACTCAGGGCTTTAAAAAAAAGAAAAAAAAAGAAAAGACCTCTAGAAATTCTGACATGTTTGTACACTGTCGGTTATATATAGCGTATAATCTATATTGATGCGTAAAACCAAAGTGTGTGTCTCGTTGCTCTGCAGGAACAAGACTCGGTTCACGTTTTAAACACAAAGATACATTTCTGGTTTTAAAGAAAGAAATACAAAGATTTGGGTGGTTATGTGATTCACCTATTTAGATATATTTTTAAAGGCTGACATGAGTCAAATTTGGGGTCATTTTAATTTTATTATCTGAGTTAATTTCCCCTGCGGGATTTTTAGAATTGAAAATTCGTTTATTATTTTTATTTTGGTCGTTCATTTTATAATATTTGTACTTGTGGCTATTTGTTTTTTTGGGGGTTTTTTTGGTCAAATTAAGACAAAATTATTATATTTAATATGAATTTATTCGACTGTGTGTGTTTTTTTTCTTTTTGGCTGCTGCTTATTTAAACGTCTTCCTGCTGCTTCCAGATTACCTGTGATTTTTGTTTACAAAGGCTGTTTTTGAGCTAATTTAATTAAGGCCCAGGATTATACCTCTGCTTTGTGTTCTGTTGTGTTCCTTCCCTTCATGCGGTGGTCTCACTAATGTTAGATAAAGAAAGGTATACAATAATCAATAATTTTAAAATACACACGTTTTCGATAAATGATCTTCTTTTATTGACTGATGTCCAACTTCCTCATCAGACATTATTATCGTGGCTTATTTCCAGTCTGCCCTCAGTGGACTATTGTTCCATAGCTGTGCGCTGGCCCTGCAGTCTCTTACACAAATGTCAGTATCTTAAATAAAATAAGATATATTAAAGGTCATGACGGAGCCCTCGTTTTCTGCTCGTTTCCCAGGTAATGAAACGAGTCCAGAGAGCTTCCTTTTGCACAACGCGCTGGCCAGAAAGCCCAAAAGAATCCGGACAGCTTTTTCACCTTCGCAACTCCTGCGGCTCGAACATGCGTTTGAGAAAAACCATTACGTGGTGGGAGCAGAAAGGAAACAGCTCGCCCACAGCCTTAGCCTCACAGAAACTCAGGTAAGAAACATTTTAAAACATTAAAACTTCACATGCTGTGTTTTTATTTCTCTCACCTGGCGCTCATTTTATTTTGAAATCTATGTAGAAGCTCCTGGGTGTGTGTCATGTTTCTGGCTCCGAGAACAGGCCTACCTCTGCTTTATAGTCTTTTTATTAAAATGTTGCAATTATAAAAAGAGATTTCTCACATTGTGGCTGATGTGGTGGACTATATGTGATATATTTTTAGTTTTTTTAAGGGCTTGGCACGTGCGTCAGGAGC